TTCCTGGAAATTAAACAATTTCCTGGAAAACTGTGAAAATTATTTCTGGAAATCAGAGACATTTACTGTAGTTCATCTTTGACAGTGTCAGGATTTCTGGCTCAAACCCTGACTAAGGTGAAACTATCAACTTCCTCTCTTGGTTTTCTTATGTTGCTGCAACACCATGAAAAGACTACATCTCTCTAGCAGATTATAGAATTACTTTTCTTTGTGTTTGCGTCTTAAGGCTTTCCTTCATTATGTTTGGTTACATTACGTCAGATTTTGACCCGGATTGTTGATGTTTCTGTGTAAAGTGATTGTGTGACCGTTAGTGACTTTGTGAGATTGTCATGGTACTTTAACCCTCTAGCTAGCTGTTAGCCTTCCACTTCTCTGCACTTTGTCATCTTCCTACAGCAGATAAGGTGAATATTTCTGATAAGAATCCAAACTAGTCCTTGAACAGGAGTCCACCTTCCAGAATATTTATTCTCTATCAGCAGCAACTTTTGTGTTTCTATCTGCGGAGTGGAAATGTGGAAAAAGCGTCAGTGTGGAAACACAGGAATGCCCAAACGTCACCATCTCATGGCCAATGATGAATCCACCAACGTGACGAAACAACCGTTTTGAGACAGAGGAACTGGACAAGATTACAAGAAATTTCCACTTCTTCCTATTGCATTTCAGAAACCCTGTTGGGGTTTTATACTGCAATCTGTGTAAAATCTCTTATTGGCCAGGTCACATTGGAAAAGAGGCTTTTAATCTCACTAAGTTATTTTTCATGTTTAAATAAAAGATGCACACACATATATATTATAATTATTTTTTTTTTGGTTATTTTAGATTATAGCTTTATTTCTTTTACTGGTTTTATATTTTTTGACCATATTTGAAGCAAACTAATAAAATAAACCAACATAAACAGCCCTTCCTTATTACGAGTAATGGGTTGATTTTTACTGCTCATGTGGCTATTATATATGATATTAATATATATATATATATTATATATGATATATTATATTTCATATCTTTACAAACAACCAATTCTGTCTTTAAAGGGGCGGTAACATGTATTTTCCAGGCACATAGTGCCATTTTACCGCACAATTAAGTAACTACAGGATGGGCCTTAAGTTTCCATCTTTAAGAGAATGTAAAATGTATATTTCTGTTATATTTCAGATACCCAAGAAGATCCGTTTGACAAAAGAGCAAAGAACTGAAATTATACTGATTGCTGGATCGGGAAGCAGTCGCATGGTTGCACGAAACTTTAACAGGAAACATGGAACGAGCATCACACACACACACACGACACTGTGGCTAAACTTATTTGTAAGTTTCAGAAAACTGGAAATGGAGTCCCACAAGAATAAAAACGGTTGTCCACTATAAGATGTTTATATTTACGCATGGAAACTTATGGCCCACCCTCTATATCACCCTCAGTTATAAATTATGTCAAACATGAAATAAAAGAAATCCAAGGTTTCCCCAAGTAAACCTGTTCAGCCTGGTGGTCATTCATCCAGCGGCCCGTCGTGCTTTTGAGTTAAAAAATGTTTAGTTGACAGGAAATTTGAAAATATCACTTGATTATGTGTTATTGAAAGATTGGAAGATTAATACCTGAATACCAACTATAAAGTCTTACAAAATGCAAACATTTTAAAGAGAATTAAAAAAATAAGCAATGCTAAGCCTGGTGGGGGTACAAGTAAAGCCTGGAGGCCCGCCAGGCTTATGATATACTGGGGGAATCCCTGAAATCTAACTTTGGAGGTGCTGAATGGGAGAGGGGCTGATCTGTGAGAGAAAAAACATAACATGATATTAAGCTAAAAACATCTGCTTTACGTAGCCCTTTCCCCCCTTTAACGTAAATTGAGAATTGTCTTTCAGCTGACTGGATGCCGCAAACAACAAATGGGGGAGGGGTGATGCTCCATGTTTCGATCAACCTCATCATGCGTACTACATGGCAGATCACGCCTTAAAGCTTTGATCCTCATTAAAATCTTGACGGCTCTTTGCTGGTCTGCACATGTCCAGACAGTCAGATTTCACCTGAATCTTGCAGTTGGCCTCCACCACCTGCAGCTTGGTCTGGACCAGCTCCCTCTCCAGCTCTCTGATCTGGGCCTTCAGAGACTCCTTCTCCTGGTCCTTCCCGTTCCCGTCTTCCTGTCGGGGGCTTACGTCGGACTCCCGCCCGCCCGGTTCGGCCTCCACATGCACTGGTGTGTCAGCGCTGTGGCCTGTGGGGATCGATTCTGCAACGTGTCGACACTGGGAACAAGCCGCTATTGTGCTCTAGAAGATGACAATTAGAAAGAAAAAAGATTGTACAACTAACAAAAAAAAAAGTATGAGTGCAACATAAAAATAACATAAGAAGCAGACATCTGCAGCAAGAGTGGAGCACTCACCTTGAGTGCATCCAACTCTTCTCTGTGGGCGGCTTCCTGTCTCTCCAGACGCGACGTCAGCTGAGAGCAGATCTGAGAGACAGATCGACTTCATCAAACGAAACCTCCTCCAATCACACCTACATGCATCTGTGAGAACGCTGAAGGACACTGATTGCACAAACGGTGCCATCAATTGCCGGTACCTGTTTGTAGTCGGAGATGATACCGGACGATCTTTTAATCTCCTGCTCAGCCCTCTCCAGCTCTCTCCGAAACACTTCCTTCAGCTACACACAAAAAAAGATTTACATATATTTATATATATATTTTTTTACTTTTCTTTCTTACAACAGCCCGCAAACAAAAAAAACTCCTATCACCATGGCAGCTTCTTCCTCTTTGCCTCTTTTCTCGTCTTCAGTTGCCTGCAGTCGATGTTGGATCTTAAGGAGCTCTTTGGTTAGCTCGTCTACTCTGTCTTCTGCCTGGAAAACATGAAAATACACTCAGATCCTCGCCATTACATGCTTGTTTCATTATATTGGTGATGCCTTGTAAAAGCATCCCCCTTTGCTTTTTCACATTTTGTAGGTATTCCCCTTCGATATGCAGTTTGACGCGGCACACACGTGGAAGAAGGTGCTCTTTGTTTGTACCCTAACCCAAAATGTCATGGTACAAACACAGCATCAAAACACACCATGCCGAGAAAGGAAACATGGTGAGAAGATTGATGAAGCTCAATACAGGAAAAGTTTTGTAAGAAAACCCCGTTTTCTATAAGCTGATCCATCTTGTAAAAACAAAACACACGGAAAGCTGCGGCTGTACCTTGACAAACCCTCAAACTTTTGACTGCTGCTGTGAATACGGCCGGGCTGCATTTTAGATAGCTGGGATGTGATATAAATGAGGTCCTGAAATGCAAAACCTTTGCCTTTCTCAGTTTGACCTCTTAGTAGTACCTCGTCTAGAGAGTTCCTCAAAGCAACCTTGCTGGTGATTAGTCTGTGCGCCAAGCTATCGTTTTCCTGCTCCAGGCGAAGGCTGGCCTGCTGGAGCTGACGGTTTTCTTTCTGCAAAGTGCAGGGGAAAAAAAAGCATTGGGTTTCTGCAGCTGAAGAGAGAAAATCAAATCATTTCAGAAAAAGAAAGAGGAAGACAGGAGTCGATTCTGACCAAGTATTTGTCCACAGGGTCATCGTCCATGATCTGAAGACGACTTTCCCCGAGTTTCACTTTCTTTGTGGGGACCTTGGAAGAAGAAGAAGAAAAAAACGACACGTCTTGTTAATGTGGAAAACCTGACACGTTTGGATGAAATGGAGAAATCCATCTCTCCCATAAAGAGATATGTAGGATGAGCTTGACAAATCAAGAACAGGCCTCAGAACGAGATCCAAACAAGGATAAATCATAGATAAGATAAAGCTGAGTACATGGGGGACGCGGTAATCTACAGCGCATCTGGGGAATTATGGGGGATGGAAGGGGCTTAAGGCAAAGCATGAAATGGATTTTCGTGTCTTAAATACCTAAAAACGACGAATCCAAGATCTTTTCAGGGTGTCGCGAATCAGAAATCTGACTTGTGGAGGAATTGTGTTTGGTGTTGGGCTTTATGCTTTGTCATGCCAGTCAGCGACGGCTCACGTGAGGAATGCAGAGAGACAAAGTAAACTGAAGGGCTCTGCATAAATGTGATCTTTCCTGTTCAAAATGAAACAGTGGGTCAGAGGCATTGCCTTTCATCTAAAGCGAAACAACAGCTTCAAAACAGAAAAGCATGACTTTGTTTAGGAACTTGAGAGCTAAAAAAGATCTGTACTTAAACAAAGGGAGTAACTTATCTTAACTCTTATAATCAGCAGTAAAAGCAGATAAGTAAAAAAAAAAAATAAAAAAATTAGCGTGTTACATATGAAAATTTCTCCAAAGACGCTGAAGCAGAGAAAGCTACTGTAAGTTTATTTGTTCTTATGTTTGATTTAAACATAATGTGGATGGGTTTTATCAAACTGTTAGACTGGTTTGCATATCAAAAACTCAAGATGCAAAATAAGTAGAAGTGCTTGGATCAGAGGTCCTCACTGATCAACCTCAGCAGTTTTGAGGATCTCAAAATGGGAGATGCAAACCCAGAAAGAAATGGAGGAAGATCCAAAAGGATCGAAAGAAAAAATGCAAGATTTTCAGCCAATGGTTGGTCAGAGAGGATCTGGAATGATCAGGTTCCTCACTTACCTGTGAGTACAGCAACAAACAGTTGTAAAGCCAAGCTATCATTGGCAAAAATCCCCCCAAAAATGATGTTGCTGTAAAAACACATGGTGACGAGCTTCCAGTGCATATTAGGAACTGGAACACAAAGAGAGGATGCACCTTTATCTGGACTCATGAAAGCAAAATGTTTCCTTTGGCATCTGGAGAGAGCAGACGGTTTGTAAGACTGTGAAGCACGGCGGCTCACGTATGATGGCATGGGGATTTTTTTTTCCCAATGTTGTGGAATAATGTCTATTTTTCACATACCAGGAATGATTGAATCAGACAGAGTCGATCATTTTACTTAAAGAAGATGCCAAGTTGCCTTTTAGGACAATGCAGTGAAGCAGGTGTCACAACAAAACGAGACCAACAAACCTGGCGGTAAAAGCGTAAAATACAAGTGGTCATGTAATTTAATATTAGTTTAATGATTCACAGGAAAGCTTAATCTACCAATATTTTTCAGTTTATGCAGTAAACGCTTGAGCTGGTCAAGAAAACAACGTTTCTGTTGGTACATTTAATCCAAACAGATGTTCCCAAACGCAATTGTGTGTATAAAAATAGAGACACTACAAAAGTCTAATTAAAGCCACCATTGTTATCGTGAACACGTTTGAAGGACTTTATTATGTTTCGGTGATGTAATCCTCAAGCCTGTGATGTGAAAAATGCAGATGTTGGACTGAGAAAAATATCAATAAATACTTGATATTAAATGACTCAAACTGGCATCAGAGATGGAAATCTTGATTGGAGTCAGTGTAGAAAGTGATCAACTCGAGGCAAAAGGAAAACCCAGGGAGAGTAAAAATATTTCACTAAATTAAAATATTTAAAACCTGCAAGAGATGAAAAACCTGTCCTGTTAACCAAAGTGCATTTTCATGCATTAACACCACAATAAAAACATTCCAGAGGGAATGAATCTTACATTGAACGTAGGCCCTGTGTCAGCGACCAGACAGGCGAGGATCTCCTCTTCACTCATCTGCTCTATAGCGCTGGCGTCGTAGGCCGTCACCATGGACACCTCCTGCATCATCGCGCCCGGATTTCCGAAACAGACCCCAACAGTCACAGCGCTTATATGTGAAGCCCAAGATTCAAAACCAGAAAAGCCAAGAACGTCCACCTGCAGCAGCAGGAGAGTGACTGGAGAGGTGTGAAGCAAGTTCAAAACGATTCTGACCCCGCCGCTTTAACTCGCTCTGAAGACACAGCCGTCCACACACACACACACACACAAAAGATCTTAAAAGGCCAGAGGTGAGGTTGAAGTTCACGACTCCCGGAAGGAAAGAAACTTTGTTTGCAGTCTAAAGGTGAGAAATCTTCCCACAGCAACACCAGACAGGTGAAGTGTGTGTCACAGTGTGTGTGGGCAGCACCAGGTTCAGCAGGGATTATATACGACCTGAGAGTGTGAAAGGAAAGACAGCCTTGGACACGCCCACGGTTGTGTTTACATTTCTTATCTCACCTGTCCTCTTCTCTGACGCACAAATCCAGCTGTTTACGACCTGCAAGTGTCCATTTAGCCGAGTTAAATGGTTTAAAAATCATTTATATAGGTTTAAAGAGGAAACAGTTTTTTGTTGTTGTTTTTCACATGCACTTTGTTTTTTTTACCCCCTTATTTTATTCACACTCTGACACGATGCCGCGTGAACCTGCTAGACTTGTCGAGTCAAACCTGCCATGCGTGTAAGAAGTAAATGATGTGGCATCTGTGATATTTTTCCCGGGGGGTGTTGGTGCAGTAGCTCTATTATAGTCATGGGCCGAGCGACCAGACCGGAGAGCAAACAGGCCCAGCAGGTAGGGCGACGCATACCGACGCAGAACAACAGGGAAGTCTCTGCCACGCCACCTGTACGCACCCCAACACTTTCATCCTGCATGCTGCAAAGTCCCACCTTAACGCGAGTTTCTCTTTAATTTCTCCATTTGACTGTGAAGTCTGTCGTTTTGTCATTTCTCTCCAGGACAAAGCCACTGTTACTCCCCCCAAAGTCTCACTTCTCTTATTGATTTTCACTTCTGTGTTTGAGTTTACTGTTTTATTTTTTGTTCTTTTTTCACATGTTTATACCTTTGTGGTCAATTTGTGTATATAAATATTTCTCCACTGAAGCTGTGACTTCAACACATTGTGTCTTGCCCCCTCTGAGTCACAGTAGGAAAAGATGCACACACAAAAGGAAAAAAAAGCCAAGGGAGACATATAAACATTTATTTTCTCCTCAAAATAATAATAATAATAATAGTAATGGTAATAAAAAGGTGTGAAGAGGTGATGGGTTTTCTCACTCTAACAGGGTGAACCAAAAGATAACTCAATACCGCTGAAAAGAAATCAGAGAAATCTGAAAATAAGAGCAAACTGATGAACAAAAGCTCAGAGCTTCATCTGCCAGAGAAAAGAATGACATTGTGCTGAATCATGGAAATACAAAAGCGCATTTGAAACGGCAAATTGAAAAGCTCTGCGTTGACAACGTGATGCAACAGGAGGCCGGCGCCTTAAAGAAAAACAAAACAAACAAAAAAAAACGCTTTCATTCACATGGAAATTTTTCCACATTTGTATTTTGTTGAGGTTTTGTGGAGCAGTCCAACGCGAGTATTTTACAAAGAAAAATGCTTATATGCACTCATTCCCCTTTACTCTGCTACCCTGAAGTAAAATCTTCTGAATTCAGGAAGTGTGGAAGAAACCCCAACAGTGAAACATGGTGGTGACAGCATCATGCTGAGGTGGTGCCTGCTCAGGAAATGAATGGTGCTAAACACGAGGCGACCCTGGAAGAAAAACGTTTTAAAAGCTGCGCAACACTCGAAACTGGAGAAGATGTTTCACCTTCCACCTGGATAAAGACACAGCCAGAGCTAAATGAACGGTTTGGATCAAAGAATAATTGTGTGTTAGAATGACCTAGTCAAAGCCTGAACCTAAATCAAACTGATAATCTTTGGGGGTGCGGATGTGGACTTATGTTATCCACCTAGTTTGACAGAATTTAAGTTATTTTGTAATAAAAAAATAAAAGGGGGGGGGGGGAACCCAAAAAAGTTTGGAAGAATAAAACTGATTGAAATTTTCTTTAAGACAAAAATGGGAGTGACTGCGGGGGCTTATGAAAAATGCATGTGACATTTCTCACGTTTTTAATAGTAAAACCTTTGTTTGCTTTTTCTTTCTTTCGCTTTTTCGCTCTGCTTTGTGTTGGTCTACGGCACAAAACCCCGAAACTGACAGGAAAGTTGTGACAAAATGTGAAGATGTTAACGGACCATGAATACTTGTGCAAATCACTTGTTTGTGACTAAATAACGTTTCTTAAATAGACGTCTTGGCAGCGGTATATTTGTTTATCTGAGCACAAAATTGTTTATCATAATTTTTTTTCCATCTCTAAATATAAATTTTCTGTTCCTACTTACAGTACCGCAATTTTTCTGACAGGAAAAAACAAAACAAAAAAAAAAAAAAAAAAAAAAAGGAAAAAAAAAGAAAAAAAAAATAAAAAGGGAGGAAAAAAAACAAA